CACACACACACACTCACACTCACACAAGTGCTCACACACACACACACTCACACACGCACACACTCACACGTGCTCACACACGCACACACCAGGCTCACGGCTAATGTGGGCTGTGTAGTGTGTCTTGAAAAAAAAAAAAAACAAGACAAAGAAATTCGATGTAACTTTATTTTACTTTCTGCTGTGCTGGACGCCCAGTGCAGGGCTGCGTGTGCCACGACCTCCACCGCTGTGCCGTGCCCCGGCCTCCAGTGTTGGGTTTTGAATGAACTTACTGTAATTATATAGAACTATCATAAAAGTTACAGGACAAATAATGATTGTGGGACAGTAACCGGTTGGTGGGTCTCACACTCACCCACACATGCACACGGGAGGGAGTGCACACACATGCAGGAGCTCACACAAGGCAGGCTTTACTGTGAAGAAAGCAATCCATCTAAATACCTGTTAAGTAATCAAGAGATTTTTAAAAAAAAAACCACAACAATAGATTACTTTGGCAGCAGCTGGCCATTAAGACCTGAACTAAGAAACTAAGTTGACACCAGGATAAATGGAGCCATTTTCAGTATTTATTGGTATTCATACTCATTATCAAGAACACTCACTAATTACAACTTGTTCTTGAGTGTGACATTAATTATTTATGACAACTGCTATTGGCACAGTATGAGGTCAACTCTACCCGCTTAAAAAAGTCCCAATACTTCCCCCCATTTGTAGTGAGCCCCACCGCCCCAATCCCCTCCCTGCCCCTCCTCGGAACCTGCGCCTGCACTGAGTACACTCTCGGGGCACCTGACAATCGCCTGGTTTTTGCTCCAGCCAAGCTTGGGGGGGGGGGGAGCTCGCTCACGGCCTCTTGGTCCTCTTGGACCCCCACAGGAGAGGGGGCTAGCGACAACCCTTGCTCGGAAGTGTACCACGGCGCTCACCCCAACTCCGAAGTGGAGGTGAAATCAGTGGTGGAGTTCATTCAGGAGCACGGGGGCTTCAAGGGCTTCATCGACCTGCACAGCTACTCGCAGCTTCTGATGTATCCCTACGGCTACTCCGTCCAGAAGGCCCGAGACGCCGAGGAGCTGGTAAGCGTGGGCCGCTCTGCCTGGCCCGCCCTGCTGGACTTGGCCGAGGAGGCTGACTGCAGCTTTAGAGAGCCAGCGCGCGAGCCTGAGTGGCGCTGTGGCGAGCGCTGACCAGGGCCCCTGCCCTTTCGTGGTGCCGTCGGACCTGCCAGGGAGAGAGATAGGGCGGCCTGTCCTGCTGCTGAGCTCTGAGACGGTCCAGCCTGCGCATCTGATTTTCCAACTAAGTTTGGAACAGGCCACAGGCTCGCGGCTCGCCGAGGACTACAGTGGGCACCGCAGTGGGAAGCAGAGGCGCCGGGGCCTCTGGTGGACTCAGCCCCGGAGTAGGAAGGGCCGGGTGGATGGACTGTTGGATTAGGGCCGCCGTCCTCAGGCCCGCTGTGGGCCGACGCCCCAGGCTGGTCTGCCGGGTGCCACCCAGTTCCCGGGCCACGTCTGTGCCGCGAAGCCGCTCCCCCAGACTCGCGGGCAGAAGTGGCCCGGCCTGTGGCTGCCCACCTTCGGCTTCTCCCTTGAGCACACTTGGCCTCCTGCCGTGCTCCCGCCGCAGCCTCCCCTCCTCGGGGTCCCTGCCACCTGTCTAGAGGGCCACCCCGCGGGCGGCGCTCGGGGCCGGGAAGCTGGGCGGCGCCCTCCGTCAGGGCGCGGGCTGGTCCCGCTCACCTCCTTCTCCCCCAGGACGACGTGGCGAGGAGCGCGGCCAGAGCGCTGGCTTCCCTGTCGGGCACCAAGTATCAGGTCGGACCGACGTGCACCACCGTCTGTGAGTCCTGGGGAGAGGCGGCTGGAGAGCGCCGGGGGGGGGGGGTCTGGGAAGGGGCGGGAGGGCGCAGGGTCCGTGTGTCTGTCCGTCTCAGTTTTTAGTAACAGGCTTCGAGACAGCTGCAGCCCGCGCCGACTGCTCTCGAGTGCCCGCCCTGTGCCCTGGCCAGTCGGGGCCTGGTGGGCTGCGCTCCTCGTGCGTAGGGAGGGCCCTGGCGGTTTATCAGGGAGTACGAAAGCCGGGCCTCCCCTTTGTGAGTGTGTCTGTCTGCGAGTGTGCACGCGGGCACACGTGTGGATGTGCATGTGTGAGTGGGCACGCGTGTACACATGTGGATGGGTGAGTGTGCACGTGGGCACACATGTGGATGTGCGAGTGTGCACACGTGTGGATGTGCATGTGTGAGTGTGCACGCGTGTACACATGTGGATGTGCGAGTGTGCGTGTGCACATGTGCACGCATATGTGTATGTGCAAATGGAGGCCAAAGCTCAGTGTTGGCTGTCTGATCCCTGTTTTCCACTTTCCTCTTTGAGGCTGTGTCTTTCGCTGATTGGCTAGACTGGCTGGCCAGCAGTACCATGTGCTGTCAGGGCCGCAGACCCACGCCGCCGTGTGCACAAAGCCCT